TGTTCCATTTTTCCTGTGTAGTTATCCTTGACACACTTGATCAGATATACGGGCTGTGCCACACCAGGATGTTCCAATATATTCAATTCAATCTTCTCCCAGTTGTCAGTTTGATGTTGTTTCACCGCTGAGACAAATCGAGACAGTTTGTGTGCCATACAGAAGTAATCAGATGATAGTAATCATGACGATATGTAGTAATGCATTATAATCAATATGCTGTAATGACGAGGGCACATTGTTTCCTAGCAACGACTGCGCATTAATGACAAGGGCACATTGTTGTCTAGCAGCAACAGCCCCTGGTGCCAATCTATAAATTATAAAAATTCACAGATTTGAGTGATAAACTCTCAGGTTCAATTGATTTGGTTGAAGCACAGTTGTAACGTTCATTTCAGGAAAAGAGATTACACTGTATTACGTACTCGTGTCACCGTTAACAGGAAACATCACTGCTGCTGTAAGAAGCGATTACTCGTGTTGTGTCCTGGATGTCAAGACAAAGAAAGACAAGATCAAAGCAAAGGTGTCCAACTTTGTTCACAGCCAACAGAAGATAGCATCAGTAGCTCTCAGGTCAGGGGCTATCAAGCTTACAAACTCACAGATCATTTATACCGACTAATCTATTTGCAGTGTGTACAGTTTTGGCCCACAAATCATGAATCACAGATAGAGAGGAAATCACACCAGTTGATAAAGACATACGTTTGATCTCAAAAAACCAGTGAAATTTAGTTTTTCACGTTGGGTTCATAATTCACAAGTAATCTTAGACCCACTAGATTCCAACCAGATGCGTACACTACACACGTTGTGCATGGTTCACTAATTTGAACTTTTCGTTAGTCATGCAAACAAATGCAATTTTTGCCCAAACTGTGGCTGGCCATTTGTACAAAATAAATAGGAATACTCATGAAAGTGTAAAGACAAATTCTTTCTGCACTTAATAATAAACATTTCTCCAAAATACTAGAAGAAAATGCCCTCCACTTTACCAATAATGAAGCAAATTATGCAGTTTGAAGCAAAATTTGTTTCCAACCGAAGGTGAACTTTTTGCCTACTTTGGTTGCCCACACAAAATAGTGGCCAGTGTTTCTTTTAGACATGAAACCTACATGTAGGTCTGCAGGCAAATGTGTTCTGAAATGCAGTTGTTGAATCAACTATGTATTCCACTCTCAGTCCATACATACATGGTGAATGTCTACTTGGGCTGGATACCGGTGGCACTCAACTCATCAATCCTGAGAAAAAGTAAGTTGGAGTTCTTTCTATTCAACACTTTCATTCAGACTTGTTGTCATGTAGATATTGGCTGGTATCCACCATGAACGTCGAGCAAATTAGAGGATGCGTAGACTTTGGCTGTTGTCTTTTTGAGGTTTTGATTGGAGAAAAATCGTTGACATAAATGGAGCCAGAGTTTTTTAAATTTTGAAGGGCACTTTAAATTTCTCCAAGCAGTGTGTGCTGTGCGTCCATCTGCATTTGGAATCATTGCAGACATTCCAGGGAATGCATGATTTTAGGTAGAAATGAAAGTTCCTTTTGCTGATAACATCATTGAGATTAGGAAATGCTGATTAAGAGCAGTAGTTAAATGAGAAATCATACCTTGATTGCTTACGGAATGCATAGTTACTGAGATTGATGACCACAAACCTGAAGCATGGAAATCCCTCTGTTGCCATAAATCAGGATCGTGTTTTGCCATGGGTGCATATAAAATTGCATGCGAAACTTGCCATCATAGATTAAAAGTTGCTCTCAATATAAAAAGGGTTATCTGGCCGGCAGTGATTATATTGTCATTTTTATGATGAAGGTTACAGTGCATTAGGAAGACACCAGAGCTCCAAGACCAGTCTGCTTGCAGATGTCATTACAGTGGACATCCACGACTCATAGTCACTCACCAGACGAAACGACTGGACTTAGTGGACTGTCGAGTAAGAAACTCATTCAGATTTAGGAGAGAGCTCAAACATTCTTTAACCCTAACCCTCCAAGGGTTGCTGGCCCTAACCTTCCCCCATTCACACAAAGTTAAACACCCATACATGCCATATTGGACTTTGTGCACAGAGGCTGTTGGACTTTGTTTTTCTGAGGTATGCCAAACCCAATGCAAAAGCCAGCTGTTTAGGCCTACCTGACCTATCCCCCGCAGAATTCGACCATTTACTACTGTTTAATTCTGTGTGGTTGGGGAAGGTTAGGGTTAAGAAGTGCAGGCGATCTGCACATCCACTGTGGAAGCTGTGTTACCGTTTAAATCTCCGATGCACTCTTATTGGTCTGTTTTGATCTTTCGTAGGAACGCTAATGCCACTTCATTTCTTTCTTCCCAAAATGCCCTAAATATCAGTCCCTGTGGTGGGTTTGCAGAAATTTCTGTATCATAATGCAGTTCAGTCGCAAAACTTTGAATGGTTGATATTCAGAGCCAATAAAGGGTGATGTGGCTGGAATCGCTGAACCATAATTATCGTGGTTTGGAACTATCCATAGTTGTTAGCCGCTCTACATTAAGCCTGAAATTGGTTTAGTATGGACTTTACCTTGATACTAGTTATTCCTGTGTGCTATGATTTCTTACATACCGCTATTCTAGTGCAGTACAAAGATGGTCATTATGTTCAATTGACATCATGTTTTGTCGTCCTCTTTTATCTCGCTAGGCTCCAGAGGAGAGTGGTATTTCTCGTCTCTTGTCCATCCCGTCTGAGAACTTAACGCAAAATCAGGAAATCTTTGTTGCTAAGCAACACCCTAGCAACCACTTCTACCACTTGGTGGCAACGCAGGACTTGCTGCTATTGATGGATCAGAGATTCCCAAAATACAATGTATGCAACTACGTGTATTTGCAGAAGTTTTAACATTGGATGTACTAGTTTATGTTCCACAGTTGTTTTTTATCATGCTTTAATGAAAAAAAATTGAAGTCTACTCAAAATGTGAATTTCACGTTGTTTGTTTGCTTGCAGGTTTTACAGTGGTGCCATTCTTTGAGGTCACCTCCCAACTGCATGGATATTATTCCCAGTGCAGAGATCTCAGATGACCTGCCAAGTGACTTGACCTCAGATCTTATTGTTCTAGCCAGTCAGAGTTCAAGAGAGGTTCACTGCTTTCAGTGCAGTGGTAAGTGTTGTTAGTGACCAGCTACTTCATTTGGAATTATTGTCTCTACTCATATAGCTCTTGCTAAACAAGTGATGTATGCTGCTTCTGTCAGGAGTAACCCCCGCCCAACTCCCAGGCCAGAAACCAAAAGGAAGGCCCCTTTATTTAACCTGGGCATCCCAAGTCCATATCATCTGGCAACTCACAGGATTCTGGGGACTAGTACCAGACAGGACACGTTCGCTTGTTGTCACAGCAAAAAAGTAGAGTTCAATAAATTTGACTTAGATATGGCCAGGTCTTGTAACTCAGAAAAAACAAGCAAACTGAAGTGTCCCTAATAAATGATGCATTTGTCAAGCTTACACAATACTTCCCATAAAGTAAGAAAATAACTTTGAATATTGTTTTATTTGATCAAAACTGATTTTCTCTCTTCTAGAGTTGAATGGACAAACCCCAGAATCCACTTCCGTTCCATGGAAAATAGCAAGTACAGAGTAAGTACAGTCCATACATGCAAAGTATGTCATGTGATGTTAAGTTTTACAAGGGTTCATTTCTAAATTACCAGCTGGCTTCCACACAAATCCATGGAGAGTGGTTGGCGCCGCCAACTGATGACGTCTATAGGTTTGTGTGTTATTTCTAGCCACTGTCACAAATTTTCATCCTAGCCAATCAGTAGACATTTCCCTGGTGTCCAGCCATTCTGGCTTGTTTATAAGTGATGAGAGTGCACATGAAGCAGTGAGGTAATCATAAGTGCTGCCATTTCTGAGTTGGTTCCCAGCCCTATCCGTTCATAGTCTGAATTTGTCACTAGTAGGGTCCATCACGCTTTGATGGTGGAAATTAAATTGCCTACATGTGGTCTCATTGATAGTCTATACAATGCTGTCACTCAGTTTGGCACGGAGCCAGTGGAGTACCTTTCACTCTTTCTGCCTTGAGCAGAAGCACCCCCTCATCAGTTGAAATGAGCCGTGTTGGTTGGGGGTATTCATTTGGTTGGTAGTGATGCTACTGCACAGCGCCAAAGGAGCCTAAGGAAATAGCACCCTCTCTTGGTCCAGCTTGGGGTCCATTGCAAGGACTGTTATTATGAAGCTATCACAGTGGGTTATATCACTCACAAGTGGGTGATTTTATTTCTGCAGTGGATGGTTTGACATGCTCCCCGAATATCCAACAGCAGACCTTGACCCTGTAAGGTCACGTCTTGAGAGACCTCTGATTGGTATGAGTGCTGCCAAGAGGATCTCCTGTGAGGGGTGTGAACCAGGAGTGACTGTGTTTCAGGTAAAGTGCTCCACCCAGTCCAGTGATTGATTAAAGCCTGCTACATGACTAAAGCAATTCTAGGATGATACCCTGTGTGGATGTGAACCTTGAGTTACTCAATTTTAGGGTTAGTTTGCCACCGTCAGCACCATCATTGTTCGGCATTGTGTTTTCAATTTCAGTGTTTTTGAGTTGATGCCTTGTTGTTTGATTAAACAGGTTACCAGGTTTTTACATTAATGTTTGATCTGCTCTTGTCACTGTGAAATTGCTAATTTGTGCGATTGATTGTGAGAGGATGTGTTGTGATGTAAATACTCTGCATTGCAAGTTAAGCACTCAATTGAATTATGGAAGTGCAGTTTTAGGTGTTATGTTTTGTCTTAGCATGAGAAATTCTGAGCAGTCATTCTATGTTATGCCCAAACCTGAAGTAACATACACTTTTGTGGACATTTCTCATTTTTCTTAATTGTTCCTTAATTGGACAAATTTTTTCTCTCAACAGTTGACCACAGCTGGAGATGTGTTCTTCCAAACCTACACTCAGAAAATGTCTGAGGACAGGCGAGATAAGACATTATCCTATGGGCCCGGATGTCCTCAAGTTCATCTCAGCAAGGAGTCATTGATGAATTGCAAGCAATGGGTAGAGGGCGTGGTTCATCAGGCCAGGCAGGAGACAAACACAGCTCAGACGTCATTCGGTTTTAAGAAAGTCAATAGAGAGACCGTCGCAGAGGGTATGATTGTGGCATAATAGCTGATAAATGCTTGGGTGAAATTTTTCACTCATGACCAAATGCCGAGGATACTTGCTAGGAGATAGTTACTTTAAAACTTCAAATTCAACCATAGATGTCAAGGTGGAGGTCATCCCTTTCCTCTTAGTCTGGTTTTTGTTGCCAAGGAAACATGACTCCTTTTCTTTCTTATTGATGTATAACATTTGGGCGCTCTTAAAGGATTGAATGAAAAGAAATTGGAAATTCACCTTCAACAGTTGCCTGCCTCTGCATATTTGAAGAAGTGCATGACACCAGATTTTTGCAAAGAACAGTGTATAAAGAAAGTTCAAACTCTGTTTTAGTGGCATCTGAGAAGTTGTAAAGCTTGTTTTCAAATCTCTTATTGGTTTTTACATTTTGCTATTATTTTCCGTGAATTTAGCTTTGAAGGACATCACTCAAAAAACAAGCCCAAGCAGAGACTGCAGACTGTGCCGCACCACTGACTCTGATCAGCCAGATGACTACGAGCCCACTGACCAGCACCAGCTTTGCCCAGCCTGTGGGGTCAAGATTGCGGACGCAGATGAACTTAAGGATTGCGTGGAGGCCGGCGGGAGGATTGTCTTCAAGAAGAGAAGGTTTGACGAGGAGGAAGGAGAGGAGATGGGACCACTGGAGAAGATCAACCCAAGGAAGTACAGAGACGAGATGAGCAAGATGTTGCATCACGCTTGGGTGCATGGATATGACGCTGGAGAATTGGACCAAGATGATGAGTATTCAAATGAGGTATGGACCCGTTATTGTAGCATAGGTAGTGATGTGGATGGTTGAGTAACATTGGCGGTACACTTCTGTACGTTCTAATCATTCTAATCTTTTGATATGAGGATGCATGTATCAAGGAATGGGTTGCTTTAGTTTTACATTTGAGTGGCTTTAAAGTTTATAGTTCTAAAACTGTTGCGCTGAGGGATGTATGTAAATGTGTAAATCCTCCTGCAAAATGTTAGAATTTTTTATTTTAGATATGGACACCAGACATGGTGACTTTTCTTCCTTTCCCCATGTGACCTGGGTTTTAATTCTACCCAGGGCAACTTTGTATCCAGTCTCTACCTGATTCTGTGCCCCCCCCCCAGAATACTTGTCTTTGCCTCACTGGAACTGAAGACTTCTCCCATGTCTTCTCTGTCAGGGCCCCCTTTGGTTACATGAAAATTCAAAGAAATTTTTGTGTTTCTGATAGTTTGTGAGTAGCTTGTGGTTTCCATTGAGACCGTAGTATTTAACTGTAATTTGCTTGTAAAACAACATTTGAGGTCAGCCCTCATCAAGCAGGGTTAAGGAATGGAGGTTAACAACTCAGTCTGTGTATTTAATGCGTAGTGTTTCCCCTATTTTGTCACCTCAATACAGCCTGTGGCAGTCACCCCACACCGACCCCCTCAAACACCAACGCCCGTCACCCTTTCCAACAAACGGAAATCCCTTGACCCCGTGCCCCAGGATGCACCAGATGGATTCACTCTAGATAGTCAAAGCTTGGACCTGTCTGAACAGAGGATATCCAACGCTAGACTGGCACAGGCCAACAGGAAGAAAAAACCAAGGAGAAGTGCAATGGGATTTTAAGGTTCATTAGAAATTTTATTTCAAGCCAAACACAATACAAGGCAATAGAAGTATTGGAATTCTATTTTTACTTGGCACAAACCTATAACAATGTTAAAAAATGATGTAGTTATAAAAAGGAACTAAACAGAAGCTGAATTGTAAATTTGCATCGGTCTCTAAGTTTCACAAACATTGTTGTTGCTCTTAACATTTTCAATCAGTTTTTCAAAGCTTTGTCAAGAGTGCTTTGAAGCCTGAAACCAAAAGGAAGGTATTTCAAATCGGTTCACCTCTAACTTTGGAATGATGTCTATTAATGGAAGTTTGTGAGATGAATATATATTTTTCATAGAAATGAACTGTTTAACAAAACTGGAATGGTCATGAGTACAGTTTATTGATTGGTTTTGAGTCTTGGAATGATTGGAAAATGAAATCCTTTATTAGACCAAATCTCTTCAGTGTTTGCAGTTGGTTCATTTCCAGTAAAGAACATGGAAAGTTCCAACTAGATCTGGAACTGAAGACAGCAAAAGTCACAACTACAATCTGAAATGGCTTGAATTGTTTGATAAGTTGGATGATCCCTAATTTGACACAAATTAGAATGGTTTTAAAATGCTGAAAATTGAGCCTTTGTGTCTTAAATATTGCAGCCACATAATTCATTTCAGCCAGAGATTTCACACTGTTTTGAATGACAATACCAGCAGCCAATTTTATGAATGTGCCGTAACGTTGACTATGTGTAAACGTTGCACCACAAATTATGCCATAGTTGCGCAAGTATACTTATATCCAGTTTCATGAAAAGTTGTGTAGCGGTTCCACGTTTTAATATTAAATTTCTTGGACGAAAATGATAACAGCTTTTATGATTGCTGTTACTTTCCAATATCACAACAGTCATTAGACCGCCACTGAATTACCTCCCTCCGCCATTTTGAAAAGTTTTCATCTTTTCTTGGTTGAAACCAGACAAAAAGTCTCTCACACCCAGACATGTTTTTCACTACCTGCAAAAACAAACTTGTACATTTCTCATACAAGCCTTGTTAAGTTCAGCAATGATGAGGCTTAATCGAACACCTTGAGCTAGTGAAATCGTTCATTTTCACTTTGTTCAGCATGACTTATGCCACCTAAAATGAGTGCGTAAGCTACGCCATAATTTATTGCGCAAGCCGCAGACTCGTACAGTGCGTAAACTTCCTGAAATCACTCTTAAATTGTTACACAACATATGCAATTAAATGTGGCATAAGTGACATTATACCAAGTAAAGTTTCGTGAAATCAACTTGACCTTTACTCACTAGACAAGCTAAAACAGGAAGAACGCAAACCGGTAGTTTCACTGCAGTGCCATTCATACCTACTTGTAAAACAACAAATTTTGAAATGTAAACTTTTCACTAAGATAAGATTTGAGCTTGGTCGTTCACTTTTTTTGATAAATTCGTCTTTTTTTTTATAAATTCATCTTTTATATACTCTCTGATTACAGTACTGATTTTTTACATTCGCCTTTGCAATTAATCTTCAATTAAAATTCAATTTTCTGTAAAATGGCATCAATTTAAACAACAGTATATTCAAAATTACAGAAACAAAATCTTTACTCAAAATTCATATTTTCGATTCACAGACAGACCTCTTTCAACAAATTCAAAAACCCTGTACAAGACAAAACTTAAGCCTCAGTCCCATTGTAAGTTTTCAAAATACACAAATATTGAAAACTGCAGAAAACAAATCACTGGCCTTGAGCAAAAACATGATATCAAGTCCCACAAATGTATCCACCCAAATGCCTCGATGCCTGTTGTTCAAATTCAGGTAGGATACGGGGCAGTTAAGGTTTACATAAACATTCCTAAAACAGAACTAGTTCCACAGAAGTGCTAAGTGTACACATGTTCCTGGTTACCATCAGTTATAGATCTCTGTCAAAGGACGCCATCTTTGTAGGAAAAGTACAACTGGGCATTGAACTCCTTCAGGTACGTGTGCGAGCAGCGTGCAAGTGTTCTACACGCACATGTGTTGACCTCCAAACATCTTCAAAATGTACTGCAGTTGATGCATGTCACCAGAATTTGAAGTCTAAAATGCCAATACACGTGGACAATCTGGAGGAAGTGACGTCATTTGAGAGAGACATGTACTGAGTGATTACTGCTTGTCATGTTACCTTTCAACAGCAAGACATTGATAGTGCTCCAACTCAATATTCCTAGGAAACAACCCTTCTGCAAAATAAAGCACAGTGCAGAAAAGGGAAAGGATCCTTGATCACTACACTCAAACACCTTTAATTCTAACCCTCCAAAATCCTCCAGGTGGTTTTGAAGATTGTTTAGGAATAAGAATGGCAAAAGGTGTGGCTGATTGCAAAGGATGTATTGTGTCTAGGTTTTGGGTTAGACCTTTTGTGTTGTTCATGTTCAGCCATGCATAGATTCATGCCCGCGTTATATGTGAAATCCTCCATACTGCTCTAGGGTACCATTTGCATTGCATCAACATGACAGGGACTGCTGGAGGATTTTGATAGAATGAGGCAGTGGGCACCCCCCAAGGGGGCATATTCAAGAAGTATTGGGAGGATTTTGGAGGACTGAGGCTGAATAAAGTTTTCTGGCATGAATAAGTGGAGAATTTGAAGGATTGAGCATTGTGCCAAGCAAAGAGGCCTCTAGGATTACGGTTCCAGATTCAACATGTATACACATCTGCAATGAGATACACAAATCTACGCTTGCGACTTTTCTCCCTATTTAGCAGCTCTGGGAGTTCTTTCTGAGACCACCGATATCTCTCTGTCTTACACCAGTACAGAAAATCACTACAGGGGGATTTTCCAGTTGAAAATATATTCCATGTGAGTCTAGATGGAATTTCTTTCAAACAGTTCTAAGCACTGCAAGTAGGGTAGGTAGCAAGAAAACTTTGGCAGGATATTACATGATTCAGAAATAATGGTGTTGGCACACTTTCGCTACTTTTCCAGATCGCCGTCATGTCTTTTCTCCAGCGCTTTCCGTTAGACTCCGTGATGCATCAAACTCCAAGTCCTTGCAGCTTTTCAAGATGTCTGAAGTGGAAAACATATCTATATGTATAACATTTCTTCATTTGGAGGAATTTCGAAACAAAAGTACTTACTTAACAGCACAGTTCTTTGAGTTGACTGAAATTTAATACTAGTTACCTTTTTATTACATGTCAACAATTCACTACATAATGACTCCATACTTTCTACTTTTGGATGGCTTGAAGAAAGAACAGGGTAGCTTAGGCCACACGTTTCCAACCTAGGAGAATCTTTCTCAGAGCCTTTGACAAGCAATCTGCCCCTCAAAGTTTTTAGATTTGATACTGGTCTTGAACAGACATGCAAAAGCAGTACATACAATCCTTGAAACTTCAAGTCACCACAGCTGACTGACTGGGGACAGTTGTTCTGAAACCAAAAAAGGAACATCAGGCCCCCTAATGTATCTAGATTCTGATCAGCACGCCTATCACGGTAGACCTGCGCATCGGCAAAAGATAAACAGTTATTATTGGGTATAAAATGATGTCCAAAAGCTGCAAAACTTGCTCGATTGACTAGAATCCTGCTACTGCGTAATTTTAACGTGTTTTTGATGGGTTACAGTTGAATGATAGGAACAGTAAAGGAGTCCATCTTGGCCCTCCACACATTAAGTTGGGCACTCTTTTTCAGATGACGTCATTTCTGTAGTTTACATTTACATCTGGGAACCAGACAAACGAGATGATCTTATATCCTGTTTACATGTGCAAGTTGGAAATGCTTTTAAACCGTGAATAGGGCAGAGGCCAGTCTACTTTAGTGTTGGTAGCGGCTGCTGGTATGTGCGCATGCAGTAGCGATGGACATCGCGCGTTACATTCATCATTTCCAGAAAAAAAGTGAGGGTACACAAACAAATTTGTGTCGCACACCACTTTTGAAGCCAGCTCTTGACCAGAAACAGGAGACTTATTATGGGGGGCCTTAAAGGAGTAACTATAAACAGTGACAGGGCTAACTGGAGACTAACCTTGAAACTGCTGTTCTGCACTCCATCTGTCTTGATCTGAATCAACTGCCCCTTTAATCTCCCAGAAGTCTTTGCTCACCCAGGGCGACGGTTGATCCATTCTGGTCGTTGTACTCTCTTGGGATCCTGCAAGGAAAAGGTTTGCATTTGAAATATCACACCAGTTAGCAATTGCTGACAGATAATAAAAGACAAGAGAGTCCCTCAAACTTCCAAGAAGTAGTGGGGAATGCTATCAGCCCAAGGGTGATTCAAGTTTGCCTAAAACTAGACCACAAAACTTCAGACAATTTTCATGTATGTGTAACATGTTTCAGTCAAGGTGAAAGGCAAAGCAAATCCAGAAAAAAGTTACCCACCCTAACAAAATGCAACCCTGCGGGAACGGGGGGGCGCTGTGGGTGCTGAAGCACCCCTAACCTTTTTGGACCAGGGTGCTGGTGTACAAAATCGCAACCCCAACTTTGACCATGTTAAGCCACGGACATAATCAAACTCACCAATGTCAGAGATCCATCAAAAAAGCCTAGATATTTACAACCTCGGCACCCCCTAAGAAAAATGTGTTCCCTTGTGCATGACAAAATGAGTTGAAAGCCACTGGGTTTTCTTTTGAGTTAAAGAACATTCAAAGAATTCATCACAGTGTATATCCGCAGGAACTCTCAACATTATTTTCACCAAAATAACGCTCATTATTGTGAGAATATCACACTGAACGATACATCCAAATAGAGCTTAATAAGCTTAACACAATACCTGCATAAATCCCTAGTATCTGATTGGTAGGTTGTTGATCACATGTTTAATATCGAATTATTTGTTCTATTCCACATTACCTGTTGAACAGAACTTCATTTCACTCAACCGGTTCCCACCCTCATTTCATATATTTCATTCCAAATAAGAAGGAGGGAAAGAATGCAGGCATGGGCACCAGTCTATCATCGCACGGTACTAACAGTGGGTGGCACTTCGGACATAAATCTTTTTGCAAAATGACGGACATGAATACATGAGGACAGTTTGTTTTAACAGGAGAGAGCGCATGTAGATACTGTAAACAAAAAAATGGTTCACATCTGTGCGATGGTAAGAATAATTTCATTTTCATAATTTCAGTGACAAATGAAATGTTCCATTGCACAAGCCAAATCTTACCACTGCACTCATAAATATTCATTATTTGTATACCGTCTGATACAAACTCCAACAAAATTACAGACAAATGGTCTAACGACTCATTTCATCTGGATCAGTCACAAATGTCCAAGGTTCACATCCCACCTTCCAACATTGCATCCAGCTTCTGACAAAGTTCAATGAGTTCTCTGCCATTCCCCAACATTCTCTCTCCGTCCATGACCTTTAACCTCGGAAGCATGGACATCACGTTGGACTTGTAGGAAGCGCTGTGGCACACCGGGTTATTGAGACCAGTCAGGGGGTCACTCAAGGTCAAACTGGAGAGGGAGTCTAGGTCGGCCAAGCACTGGAGACTATCGACGCTGCTTATGAGGTTCCCGGACACGTTGAGGGTTTGAAGATTAACAAGTTCCTTTAAAGGATCTGGAATGTCACCAAGGTGAAATGCAAGTAAAGATGAAGTAAGTCAATTTTTATGACAGATAAACTAGCTCATCTTAACCTCTCTACTGACAGGGATTAAAAATAGCCCAAATGAGATAACGGCAATCACTTTGTGTCATTTTTAACTTTTGTGGCATGCTACAAGTATCTACTGAACTGCACATGACTACAGCCGGGTCCAAATCATATGGCTGAGGCTGAAATAAAACACACTTCTATGGGAAGCCACCAGCTAATGGCTAAAGCCATTTTTCATAGACTTATGTGATAGTGCTAGCCACAGCCATTTCATTTGGACATGGCTTCATGATCAACACACAGGTATATAAAGAAAACTCATCTCACCAATGTTTGTGATCAGATTGGCCGAAATGTTCAAGCATGACAGCTGCTTGAGAGGGGTCAGAGGTCGAAGGTTGGCAAGGTCATTTCTGCTCAGGTCTAGCCTCTCCAGGTAAGTACAGTCTCCGATGCAACCCAAGTGATCAATGTCTGGAAAACAATTGGATTTGACTGTCATCTACAAAAATTCATGTATTATTTTGAATTTCTGTGAACTGACTTTAGATCTAGCAGTTGTGACTTGGGTACTTTTTGGGTCTGTGTGAGTAGGTCCATCAATTGTGGGCAGTGCACAATAAAAGACAACATATCCATTACTGGATGAGTGACTACAATTGGAAAAACTGTTTACAGCCATTCGCCCTTTACCACTTCGCCCACAACCACTTTACCTGTTTGCCACTTCACCCATTTGCCACTTTGCCTATTTCCCACTTCGCCCACGCAATATTTCATGTGGTAATAATGCATGGTCTAATTTCACAAGCGCGTAAGCCTGTGGTTAATTGACAAATCTCCACATCCTGATGGGTTTATTGCTTGCAAGTTTCCTGCTACAAAAATCAAAACATCAAGACTTTGACACAATAAATGTATTTTCAAAGCATTTTTTCTGTACAACACTCCAAAGTTTTCCAACAGCAGGCACTGGACTGAGACCTCATGAAACACGGGAAATACCTAGATAACGGCATAGCTAGGATTTTACTGGTTGGAGGGGCCACAAAGGGGCACCAGCATCTTATNCGATTGGCTGAAATGTTCAAGCATGACAGCTGCTTGAGAGGGGTCAGAGGTCGAAGGTTGGCAAGGTCATTTCTACTCAGGTCTAGCCTCTCCAGGTAAGTACAGTCTCCGATGCAACCCAAGTGATCAATGTCTGGAAAACAATTGGATTTGACTGTCATCCACAAAAATTCATGTATTATTTTGAATTTCTGTGAACTGACTTTAGATCTAGCAGTTGTGACTTGGGTACTTTTTGGGTCTGTGTGAGTAGGTCCATCAATTGTGGGCAGTGAACAATAAAAGACAACACATCCATTACTGGATGAGTGACTACAATTGGACAAACTGTTTTACAGTCATTCGCCCATTTACCACTTTGCCCACAACCACTTTACCTGTTTGCCACTTCACCCATTTACCACTTCAAACATTTGCCACTTTGCCTATTTCCCACTTCGCCCACGTGCCACTTTACCCTCGCAACATTTCATGTGGTAATAATGCATGGTCTAATTTCACAAGCGCGTAAGCCTGTGGTTAATTGACAAATCTCCACATCCTGATGGGTTTATTGCTTGCAAGTTTTCTGCTACAACAATCAAAACATCAAGACTTTGACATAATAAATATATTTTCAAAGCATTTTTTTCTGTACAACACTCCGAAGTTTTCTAACAGCATGCACTGGACTGAGACCTCATGAAACACGGGAAATATCTAGATAACGGCATAGCTAGGATTTTACTGGTTGGAGGGGCCACAAAGGGGCACCAGCATCTTACGGGGGGCACCAGCTTTCAGTGGTGTGTTTTTGGGGGGGGCAAGTTTTTGTTAGCCTTTTTCAATATCCATTCATCCATTTTGTTCAGTGGGGGGAGCACCTGGGGAACACTGGAAATTTGTGGGAGGTGTCCCCCAGGCCCCCCCCCCCCTTGGCTATGCCACTGTACCTAGCTGCACGAAGACGACTCTAATTCCATGAACTAAGACACTGAAATATTTCGGAAGTTCTTGATCATTTTGTATCCAATCAGGTTGTCAACATTCAGAATGTAGGCCTACTTTATGTTGTTGCAGGAGTGACACAGCTATTCCACACTGTTCTTACTACGTGTGCTGGTGCCAGGCCTGCTTATAGCATTGCATCAATTCACATTAAAGAAAACCTCAACAGTTTCTAAATCAATCATATCTTAATATTGCTATTAGATATTTTTACCTTTCCTGGCAATCAGGGAGGATTCAGGAAGGGTTGGGTGGTTGTTTCTCTTTCCAACTTTGATAAAGGCTTGTGAGCGAAGTGGTAAATGGGCAAAGTGGTTGTGGGCAAAGTGGTTGTGGGCAAAGTGGTTGTGGGCAAAGTGGCAAATGGGAGAAGTGGTTGTGGGCAAAGTGGTTGTGGGCAAAGTGGTTGTGGGCAAAGTGGTTGTGGGCAAAGTGACCAACACGGGGAAAATCATGTACAAATCCTACGGAAGCCTTGCAAAATAGGGCAATTAGGATTTTCCTAATTGTAGGTGATTTCAGACTTGTGTTTAGTTTTGTCCATTTAAACTATCAATTTCTGCAGTGAAAAATTACCATCTTTTGAAAGTTAGTGGAACAGGATAAGTGGAAGGGGTGATTCATTTAACGGACCCATTTCTCTGAGGATTAAGCTATGGATGCTCTCAAGGTCAAACTCGCCACTTCTTGTCTTCAGAATCTGCTTGGTGATCCGAGTCCCGCTCAACTCTGGAACAAAGTCAATTAAAAAGAAAATAAATCCTCCAAACGTCAACCAGTCCATAGTCTCATAGAAAGTCAAAATGCTTCATAAGTATTATTGTATCAAAACTTGTTTGGCCCATTCATTTGCAAAGATGGCTAGGCCTACCAGACATTGAATTGAACCAGCCAGAGTCAGGAACAGGTGCAGCGATACAATACATGTAGGCCTCGGCCTAGCCCAGGCTGGACGTTGTCTTCATTTCATTACGACTGACGTCCACGGTATAAAAGTTGTGTACAAAACGACCACAAAAACGGTTCTAATTTGTTCTTGGTTTACCTTGGTGAAGAAACTAATACTTCACATTTACAAGTTCTATGTGGCGTTATCTACATGTATCTGTCTGGGGGGGTTAGGAATTTCAGATCAAAATCAAGGAAAATAAATGAGAGACAACGCTACTTTTGTAGAGTAATTCATCCATTCATGAGTTGTAAAGTGCACTGCACGCACGTACAGGAAACCCAGCTGCGTGCACGCACTACAAGTGCACAATTTCTCGGGGTCTGTTGCACACTTGCTACATGGAGGCCATGACTGGTACCCGGCTTTAACCCCCATGCCATCGAGACGATATAAACAAATGCAGTTCTGTTTTTGTCAGATCAGGGGCTTCAGACTGACCAATTAATCCCCTATTGGTTACCCCTAACGTGTTCATATTTTGCTCTGCTTTAAATTTTGGTTTATAAACGTAAATTTGCGACTCAACCTGCTATTTATAAGAATAACCTTGATTAGCGTAGAAGGTTTTGTATATGCAGGGTTTTTGTATGAGAATAAATTGATCAACGATCTCTCTGAAGTGTTGAACATGTTTAATTTGTTCGTAGAGTTTTTATTGGTTAACGATGTATAAATATATACAATATTGTAGAGATCCAATTTTTATTATTTGAAATGAAACATTAACTTATCTTGATAAATGAAGAATAAAAAAGAAGATTTCATTGCAAGCATGATGATCATGATGAACAGGTGAGAGCGATGCTGTACTGATCGGGAACGCAGTATGCAGAGACAGTACTGGCACGCGTACATGTGGTAAGTAACAATCATGCACAAATCGTGCTGTTGATCGGCCTTTCCTTTTTTTATTCGTAAACTATACATACGATAAGTAGACTGAATCGGTAATCGGCAGTGACGAGTTGGATGTTAAAGCAATGGACAGATAGCTAGACTGTGTCGAAGTTTTAAAAAAATCTCCTAATTAAATCATGGTTGGGGGGTGAGGAGATGCTCTCTTGAAACCCTCAGCCTCACGTAGGCCTACATCAAACAGCTGGAAACAGCTACATGTACATCAAACAGTTGTAGTCGTTTGGAGTCCTCTGTAATAATAAGTGCCTTCTGATATTCTTGTCAATGTTTTTCCACAGTGAAGAAATCATGTCGCCAAACAGTTTTTGTCAGTGGGCTTAATATTCATTGGCTTGGGAGGCTGGCGTTTATAGTCATGCTGGAGCTCTATCTGGTTATCGGAGGATGGATCCCCAACAATATGCAATATCAAAATACTCAATAATCTCTAAATGTTTCATTTTTAAATTCAGGCCCAAGAGATTATGATTGTTATCGCCATCATTTTGTATAACTTTTAAAATGGGACAAATCAAGAGATATGAGTAAATTACTAGCAACAGAAATGTGCCAAAGCCTTGCAGGACAATACCCTCTCCCCTCGACATGGAACTGCCGGGAGTCCCTTAACTTCTATCGAATTTTGTGGACACATTTTGTCTGTCTATTTCAAGTTCACCTGTTAACACATGATACATGCTGAAAAAGGCCAGGATCTGTATAAATCATGAATTTTAGCTTTCCCGTACTGGCCGTAGGAGACTCGGCTTGCATGCAGGTAACTAGGCCAACTGTCACCAACACAAGCCACAGCCTCGCCCCCGGCCCGATGTTGTGTGTGCTCGGCATGGAGATTAATGGTACTTGTGGCTGAGAACTACATTGCGCGTTATATGCTTTACATGTATGTATGGAAACCAGTGGATTCGGTTAGACTTCAGTTTCGCTAGTTCCAGTCAGAACATGTAGTTTTGATGTGCATGTATGTAGCTCGGAACCTCGTGCGCCAGGTAGTTGCGCACACACACCGTACAAACTGCACTGGAGAACGGCTGAAAAGCGTCCACAACAATGGCCAGAATTAATGTTACGTACGACTTTATTTTCTGGTTTTTGTCTTTGGTGGAGATGTGTCAAATTTCTTATCCCACCAGCTGTGGAGATAAGCATGGATAGGCATTACAGACGTGAAATTGGCTCTTTGGAAAACGTAGAAGTGTTGAAAATTTTTGTTACATAATATTTCGCCCGATTTTGCACCCTTTATATCCTGAACTCCCTCCATAACATAGTACGGTCAGTGAGTCCACCTGGGCTAGCCTAGGCCTATATAACACGTTTCGTAAACCTCGTTATGTTGGTTCTAATGTTAGTGGCATTTGTAATGTAGGTCTTATTAAATTTGTTATGCCTAACAAAAAGGGTTCACTTACCAGTCTTTTCTCTTGAATCTTGGTTCATGACGTTTAGCCTTCTAAGAAAGGCATTTAAAAGAAAGGAGTGTGCCAATTCCGCGGTGAGATTATTATCCCAAGGTTTTAACTCCGATTCAGAAATGGCACCGCTGCAGTTTTGTGTGATCGCGTCTTTAAGTTTTAGTCTTTAGGTCTAACTACTGTCCGGAAATTGGGCAGTCATCTTCAACAATCGATGTGTTGTCTGGCTACTATTATCACATTTATGCATGGTTGAGAACCGTGAAGCATTCACTTCGTCCTGGCTGACTTAAAACGTGTGCTGAATCAGCGTTTGGCAATTTTTTAAATCAAACATAATGTTCCAACATGTCAAACGTGAAGTCCAGCGTTCGTAGCAACCGCAATAGCATGACTGAAATATTGGTGGCGCCCTTTAAACACAACAGTCCTTTTTCAACAGGAAACAGTCGTCTGTTACTTTAAGTTTGCGCAAAACGTCGACGTCACGCTCACCGCCCTTTCCTTTTCACGGTAGAAACCCGTGTGACTCGCAATGAACGGGAATCCAATATTCGGCGATCAGGGGCCACTACCAATATTCAACCATCTCACAAACTCCTGTGCCGAAACTCTGGTGTCTAAAGGCTTGGAAATCAGCCCAGATTTGGGGGAGACCATCCAAAATCAGGAAACTTACCCAGTGCTTTTAGTTGGGGAGACCGGTGAGACTCTGAGAATTCAAGATGGCGGCACTGAGGGAAACGAAGAGGGAAAAGTCGCACATAATCTGCAAGCAGCACCAAAAAATAGCAGCGGCGATCAACTTTCCGACGATATCCTCCTGTTTGTGCGATCAGAAAGTGTCGACAACAGTCCACATACCTCCGTGAATGTTTCTCTGGAACCCTCCTATTTGGGAAGCCCAAACTCGGCCATTTTGCCGCTGGAAGGTGGCTTGCCACGTGAGCAGGGTAGCGTGAACCCCAGTGATCAAAGATTAGATGGCATAGACAGTAGTGAGTTGGTTCAGAACCCGGAAGTAAACGCAACCATCGCCTTACCGCCTGTCGCTACTGTCCAATCAGATTCAGTTTCCTCACGTACCTCCAAGTCACATTCACAAATAATTGATGCTCTAAATCTTAGCTCAAGCAAAATGATATCCATCGGGTCTGAAGCCAGTAGCAGTCAGCCTAGGTTGGCAATTACTGGAGGGACTTCCGTTCTTGACATGGGTAACAGCCCTGTGTATAGTGTTCAGGACCTGAACTTGGGTAGGTTGACAGAGAGTCTTCAAGGAGCACAGGTTCAAAATACCGCTGTTGTGATGGGAGGAGAGGTGAATATTCCCCAAGCAGAAATTCTGAGTTCAGTTCCAGTGGTATCCAACACAGGCCAGCTTGAACTTAGTGTCGCCACATTACCAGCAGTAGGTATGGCGGGCACCACTGCTCTGGGTAATGTTGGCCAGCCAGTGATGTACATCATTACAAGCCGTGACCGCAACACGGGAGCAACACAGCGATTCCGCGTAACCGTTGATGCCGAGTCAGTCGCCACCGCCCCCATTGGGAACCTGTCCCTCAATACTGGATTGCCAGCTCTCCAAATCGGAAGTCATTGGGTAGTGCAACAGCAACCAGATGCAGGGGTCAGTGGAAGGCTCTTGTCCAGTGATGGGGCATCAGCGGCCGTTGATGGCAGTGGTGACAATACAGCCGTTGGTGTCATAAACACACAAGTTGTGCCAAGCATTGAAACCCAGACCACAAGTGATGCTACTGCTTTTGTCAAAGCTAACCTAGGTACTAACAAACCACTTATTTCAGTGACAAATCAACTGAACAAACCCCTAATTTCTTGTCAGATCAACTGAAACACAAGGATATTGATATTAACTACATTTCATTAAAATTTCATTAACATACTTGAATTGTGCATGGTAAAAATATACTGAGTTCAAGAGAAGTGCCATGCTTCTAGTAGCCGTCCATTCACTTGATGTAAGCTTACTGAAATTTCTTATTTCTTTTATCAAAGCTTTTAAGCTGTATTGTTCTGGTTATGTTTTAATGGAACAACTTTTGAAACTTTCAAGAGAGCACAGAGAAAAACGAAGAGTGAAAGCTTCGTCACAAAAGTGTAAAAATTAATGTTATGTATGATTCCAGTTTTCCTTGTGATGTGTGCTTTTACACAAGATAAGTTTACATTTGTTTTGAAATATTTGATAAGTGATTAGTTATTCTGAGCTTTTTTCCCGTTCTTTTTTTCTCTTCAGGTTCTGGCGATGTGGAAGCACATTTCTCAGGATTTATTTTAAAACCAAATGCAAAAGAAGTGAGTCATTTCTTTTACAAATAACTGGAAGTAATTCTTTGGTTTAGAAAATTTTGCACTTTCTGTACAAACAAAAATCACACAATTTAAGAAACTGTCCATCATTTTGAACAAACATTTGTCATCATCAGTTATGCACATGCTCATCAGACAACGAAACACAAGTGAAGTTAAGAAGAAATAACAATTGAAACCAAATCTTTTTTTGGTATTGAAGGAGAAAGTTTTTTGCTGCACGTTTGAGGGATGTCGGGAGATCTTCACAACTAAAAAGAAATTGAAACTACATCAACTTGTCCATGCCGACGACAGACCACATAAGGTAAGGAGTCTGATTGGGCCAGAAAACAAGCCAGCCAAAGTAATCACTTGGCAAAACTACTTGCAACACAGAAGTCAGCCAGTTATGACAGTTTGAAATTCAATCAATTTATATTTTGGCTGGTAACTTGACTGCGCTATTGGAGGATGTTTGTATGCTTGGTAGATATTCATTGGTCAAATAACTGGTACTTTACTAACTGTGAGTTGTTATGGCATCTGGGTAAAAGTTGGGTGGCCACAGAAGCTAGGGATCATGTTTTTAAACAATTCTGAAGCCAGACAAAGAATGGTTTGTCATACAGCAAGTGCTAATTCAATCAGAAAGTGTTCCGTGTTTCTCGTTGCTCTTTCAACAAGTTTTTTCTAAAACTTTGAGAAGATTTTGGCGATACCCCCTCAAGTGTCATGTTTCTTGTAACCCTAGCATGAACATCATCCCTTACCTTTGTCACCATAATTATTCTAATAATGGAATAAAATAGAGAAGTTTTAATCTAGTGTGTAATTCCGACCAAATGTAGACCAGGTTCAATCATTGGCTAAGACAAAGGCAAGGTTCATTATTGATATAAGGTATTTATGAATGAATGGTGTTGTTTAGTGTACAGTGGAGGGCTGTGATTGGACGTTTCCAACGTTGTATAAGTTGAGGAGGCATTTAGCAGGACACACTGGAGCCAGACCTTTCACTGTAAGTTACTTTCCCATTCACCACGCCTTACTAAATATGCCACACCCTGACTCACCACCCTCATGTTGAAATACCCTGCTTTTTAATTTTACTGTGACAGAAAAATTGCAAGAAACATGCAAAGGGGTGCAATTTCTCCGAATTTTTTCCAGATACCTTGATGTTTTACCACAAAAGTCTGGGTTCTCAGAGATTCAGTCATTCAAATTGTACTACAGTTTGGCACTTCTGCAGGATTCACATTTTCTGCAGGATTCACATATCTTGTTAATCTGTGAGAGAACTCACTCCATGGTTAGTTATTTAGCAACCCTGACAATTTGTAGTAATGTACAATGTATTGTTCTCATTGTGACAACCCCTGAAAATAAGATGATTTTGATTTTATCAACGGAAAAGTCCCATGCTCTGGAGCTTATTATAAAACTGAAGTTTCTGGACAAGTGAAATGGCTCCACTTTCAACATTGTGTTGTACTTGCGTTTCTGTTTTCACACAGTGTGAGGATTGTAAAGCCCAATTCTCTACCATCTACAACCTCAATATGCACAAGAAACGCCATGAGCGACCAGATGCATTTGTGTGTGAGGTCAAAGGTTGCGAACAGATCTTCCCTACGATGAGTAAACTCACTAACCATCTCCGTACCCACTTCCCAGAACGTCGAATCAAGTATGTCTTGGATGAAAGACCTCCTAGATTAAGTTTAGGACAAGATATGCCTGTATTCGGTCCAGACAGAATGGGAGAATGCGTAAAGGATGAAATACATTTCCACAAACATTGACAAAATTTCTGGCAGAAGTTGTATACCCAGCAAAAAATGAGACCAAGGGGTA